GACGGGAAGAGAGAAGAAGGAAACAGGAAATAGTTCTGTCTCCCCGCTGCACTTAAAAATGGATGTCTCCTTTTTTTAAGTCCTGTGTGGCCCTTTGTTTAAAAAAGGGAAACGGAAAAAAAAGTGTCAGGGACGTTCCGATTGTCTGAATGAATGAACAACTCTTTTTTTATCTCTCCCAGATTGAAGTGGAAATAAAATGCACACAGAAAATGCAATAACCCTAAAGCTATAAAAGGCTCTACCTCCCACCATCAGTGTAGTGAGCATGTTAAATATTTTAAAAGTAGCGCTTCAGATTCCTCACTTTTTTATTTCATGAAACCTTTTTAACATAATTTATATTCAGTCCTGACCTTAGTATATTTAGCCACGCTGCTAAATAGCCATTATTTTAATTCTAATGGTTCATGCACTGGATGTAAATTTCAAACTTTCTTTTTTATATTTGTCGTGTGTGGTCTTTTAATGGTATTTCAGCGTGATGTAGCCTTTCGAGCTGCAGTGAAAACATGACAACGGCCACACAAAAAGACTATATTGAGGAGCTTCCAGAGAATGAAACAAAGCGTATTTCCTTAGAAAAGTGAGGTAAGCAGTAAAAACACACCTATAATCAACAGGAAATAAAGAAAAGCAGTGAACGTCTGGGTGATAGTGGTGGAAGGTGGGGCGGGGAAGGAACTGAGGGGGAGTGGCTCAGATTGAGCCATGATTTCCTGTCCAGCTGTTCCTGCTGTCACCGCTTGTGAGCAGATGTCTGTATTTATTTCAGCCATAATGTCGGCTGTGCAGACACACACTGTGTCTTTCTATTAAAAAAAGGTAGCAGCAGGCAGCATTCATGATACTCACACTCTCAGTGTCGGTGTTTTTTGGGTGTGTTGTGTCAGTGGTGGTGCATGGTGTGACTATTTACAATCTTCCAGCTGCAATTTCACTGTGACAACACTGTTTATATCGAATCCAGACTTATCTGAGTTTGTTCTCGTACATCAATAGAAACCGGACTCTGTCGTCGTCATCCCTTCAGAGAGTTTTGTTGGTTCATCTTTAATCTTTTTCCCACTGCTGCTCTATAAAAGGACATAGACGGGGTTCAGTCTGCAGAGCCCACAGCCATAAAATGTTTTTAGAAAGAGTCTACATCTTGGCTGCAGCGTTGTGGAAACAATGTACTGGCCTGAGTGTGAATACATTAAACCCTATTTCTGAAAAAAGGCAGTCTTTAAAAAAAAAACAAACACCCGTGCTGACTCTGCAGCGTGGACGTGGCGTTGATAGTGGCGGCAGAAGTAGAAATCTGAAATGATAAAGGCGGAAATGACCCTTTAAAGGCCTTAAAAAGTAATTGAGTGTGTTTTTAAAACTGTCTGTGGACCAGGTATTAATTCAAGGACACGTTTTATTTCTTTTGCTCTGAAACAGTGGTGATTTTTTTATCATGTAAAGACCTGAGGGCCATCTGCTCCATGTGTGATACAGAAGAACCGTAACTAAGAGACAAATTAATCTGAGCAAATGCTAATAATGCTAATGTCACCTTTGAACAAATGATGAGCAACATATATACTTATATATTTTCTTCTATAATATTATTCAAATTATAGTAAAAATATAACAAAGAAAATGAGCTCTTATATCATCATTTATATATATATATATTTGAGTAATTTATGTTAAATTAGCTGCAAATACACTGGTGAGTACCATAGGTTCTTAATCCACATTTGTTTAGTAAAACTAAAGGAGCCAGATGGTTGATAAAATCCCTGAGGTCTTTATGTCTAAATGAACACAGCTCATACGTGCTGTTGGATGTGTTGTGTCCTCTGCTGCAGTGATGGACCTGTCAGTCTGAGTCGTTGTGATGTTTCAACAGTGCTGTCTGAGAGCAGCGGCAGATGCAACACAACACAAACGCAGGTAAACACATTTTCTCCAACAGTCCAATTAACCGTCTCCTTGTCTCTCTCCATCTGTTTCCCAGGATGCCTTTGTGGAGCTGTACGACAGACAGGGGGAGTCTGCCTTCAGCTGCTCCTGGCCCTCCATCAAGACCGTCTTTGGTCTGGCTGCACTGGGGGCCGCCAGCCTCACCATCGGAGCGTATCTGACCCAGAAGTGAAGGAGACCTGCGCTCTGTCTGCTCAACTTTATTTCCCTCACTTCCTGCGCCCTTTCCCTTGCTTTTGTGCCTCTCTGTATTCCTTTTAAAGATGCTCCTGACCCCGCAGAGACGGGCTTTAGACTCTTTTGAATCTGGTTCTCTTCAAAGCCTTCTTTCACTATAACTCCCTCTTCTTCGCCCCTTCATGTCAAAACAGACACAAATCAAAACAAGTGGAAGAGCCAGATGCATGGCCCATGCAGAGAAATGGACGTCTGGAAAAGTGGAGGCTTAGATGTAATCGCACTAAGTTGAAAGAGAAAGAGAGAGAGAGAGGAATGCCTCTCTTTTTTGTTTTGTGTTTTTTTTTTCTGCCTGCTTCTTTACTAGTTAGAGCATGAAAAGTGAGTGTTAGTGTAGGTGCTGCATGTGTCAGGGTGTAAACCAGACTCCTGTCTGAAGGACTTGATGATCGAGTGAAAGGACAATGAAGGTGATGATGATTATGATGATGATGATGATGATGTTGATAGTGGTGATGATAAAGATGCCATGCTGGAGAGAAAGAATACCCATGTGTTGCCCCCTGCTTGTTAGGCTGAAGACCCTCGTTTGAACTGTGGACTCCACTTTTCCTCCCTACAGCCGTCCTTCAAAGGACTTCCTCCACAGAGCAGCTGCTCAGCATGTCGAATAATGGACGCATCTCAGAAACCGGCACAGCGTGTGTCCGTGCCGCTTTCACGCCTCAGACAGCTCCGCGGAGTGAACGCCGTACACACTGCTCCATTGTACTCTCCCTGGTCTGTGCTACAGGAGTATGAGACAGCGAAAGACTGAGCTCAGCTTTTCAGAGTTATGGAAAGCAGCCTTTTTTTAACTTTATTTTTAATATTAATTTCATTTCTTGGCACACTCTAAACCCGGCAGAGATGTTTTTTCTTTCTAACCAGTAAAAAACACAGCAGAGAAACCTGTCACTGTAGAGGAATGATGGTTAAAAAAGTGATGACCCAGGCACAAAACGGTGCGTCTGCATTTGGAATTTTAATATCTGTGTAAACCTCACGCAACATACAGTGCATTTGGGATGGGGTGCATCCAAAGGTGCCTCCATGTGAGGGCATCGCATCCACCTGAAAAAATCTTAATAGTGTTTTTTCTAATACAATGACGAAATACAAAATAATTTTGGTTTTGTCGAGATAACGAGGTAAAATTTCCTAATAAAAGTACAAAGCTCTGTTTTTTCATGAATAATTCAAATATTCTAATGGAATTTTATGCCACACAGATGGTTTAAACACCAACCTTTTTTGCAAATAACAATAACAGTTAAAGATATTTCAGCAGACTATTCCCCCTCAGACGGCCTCCTTGTTGTTAGCTCTAACCCAGCAGTGGTTTGGTATTTTCTACCTCTGTTGCAGTTGTTGTTTTTAATATTCTCACAGTCCATGCGAGTTGACAAAGGATGGAGTTGAGGTGGCTCTGTCATGTTCTGGGTCTGCATTCTACCTAAGCCCACACCACGACTCTGTCATGTCAGAATCCACCATTGTTTTTGGTGTGACATGGCACCACCCCTGGAAACAGGAAGTGGTTTTGGAACCTGAGACGTTGTCACTGTCTGTCTGCATCCAGTTATTGATTTTATTCTTTCAGTCTGTTTTTTTTTTTTTTTTTTTTTTGGTTGATGTTGGTCTTGTGTTACAGTCTGAGAGAAAATTTAGGGCTGTCTTGGGGATGTTGGGAGATGGTTTGCAGTAGAGGTCGTGGCATGTGGTTGAATTTAAGATGACATTCAGACAGGCCGGTTGCCAAGATTCAATGAAGAAATGTGAAAACAAAAAATGATACAAATAACATAAAAAACAAGTAATGTAGATAAAAGTCTAACTTTCACCTGGTCGGACTGTTTTGAGTCTTGACATGTGTCTCTGTGACCTGTTGCCAAGTAACTCATGGGCGGCTACCGGTCTGTGGCCTGGTGGTTGAGAACCTCTTCAATACAATACAGCAAAAGTTGGTAAAAAAAATCTTTTGTTTTTATTAATTTTATTTTTGTTAAGTTGTTAACAGACCCTGTCCTCACACAATGAAATATAACCATACATATATTCATGGAATAGGTTAGAAAATAACAGAGAAGTTGCTTTTTTTTTCTATTTATTACGAGGTACCAGATCAGATTTCAAACATTTCTTTGACTAGAACGGCATTTCCTGTTCTATGGATTAACACTGTAACTACATTTTTTCCTGGCTGCTAATATAACAAAAAAAAAGATTAAAAAGTGATTTTCTGTGTTGTATTATAATTGGCTTAAGGCTGCTATACTGTTGATTCCACTTTTATTTTACAGCTTACAACTGCCACAATTTAACAGTATAGTTCTAGAGAGCTAGAAACCAAAGGTAACATGTATTAATCTTTACTTTAAAAGGACAAAAAACAAAAGAAAAACACACAAAAAGTCAAATAGTAGCTTGATGGTAATATACTGTATGTCGCTGGACTTCACTGCTGCTCAGTGATGGTTTGTGATCTCTCTGTGGAGGGTTTATCTCGTGTTACTGTACTATACCAGATTAACTTTGTGCTCACATAATTATATGTAAAAATGTTGACATGCCAGCTCTGAAAACGCACGCACACACACACACACACACACACACTGTTTGTTTGGTTCTTTTTTGTTTTGTTTTGCAAGCAGTTCACATAGTGCATAGTGCATTATTCAAATATTCTCCTTACCCTGATCCCTAACCTAACTCTAATCTCACCCTAATCTTAACCCTTACTCCAAACGAAATCTTGAACCTCAAAATATCCTAAAAGTCCCCACAAGGACAAAGTGTCCCTATAACAATGGCCTTGTCCCTACAAGTGTCGCTCTATCAACACACACACACACACACACACACACACACTCACCAACCTAATCATTGGGAGTGTGTAGGAGAGGAAGAGTCCAACAGCAATATACTGTAAGTTTGATATTCTTTGTGCATTTATGAATGTAGGGCACTATGGTTGCTGTACTGTTTTATGTCTATAATTGCAAACCTGTAGCACTTAAAAAAATGTGTTTCTGTTGTTTACTGCTATATCAACGATAAGCTAGTGGGATCATATTGTTCCTAATAAACTGATTTCTCAAATGTCCAATTTTCCATCTTCATTTTACAAGGGGCTCCCATTCATAGAGAGGAAAAAAACCCTGCTTTTTATGTGTGTAATACAAGTCAAATATGAAATGTTTAATTGATTTAAAACAAACGTTGCTGAACATTATATTTATCCTTCCTTCAGTCAATAAAAATCACCTAATTCACCACTTAAATAAAATAAAAAAATATTATAGAGCGGTCAGTGTTCTCACCTTGGTTGGCTTTTCTCTTGGTTCTTTGGTTTACAAAAACCCAATTGGCTTAATTGTTTACTCTGAATATATTATTCGTGTGAGTGTGTGTGTGCATGGTTGTTTGTTTCTACATGTGACCTTGTGATGGAGGTGCCAGTCACCTGGCACATCAGCTCCTCATGAGTCCACTGTTGTTTAAATATGTCAGTGTTGCCTGTGAAACAAAACTGCAGCCTCAGTCTGGCTGTCACATTGTGCTTCCACAGGATCACAGCATCATGAATCGGTCCACCCTGTGGTCTGTCCCTGCGTGTCAAGAAGAAGAACATTTTTTTTGGATTATTAAAATTGTATTAACAGGATGTGTAAAAACTGTAAAGCACGAAACAATCAACAAAGAAGAAAAGGAAGAACTTGTTGCTGTTGTGTTTCCATGAAGTGTATGAACTGTGAATGTGAAGCTGTCTTCTCCAGTCTAGGGGTCTTTTTGTGAAGGACTTGTGCACCAGCCGCACCCCATCAGACATCAAAGCTGTCCCCAAACACTCCACTTGTCTGCCTTCACTTCTGCTCCATACGCTGCTAAACATGGGTGCAGAAACCCAAATGCCCTGCGGCCAGTTTTTTTTTTTTATTCTCTTTTTCTTTACATCCCACTGCCTCTGTTCTGATCACACTTGTCTTCAAAGGCTGTGGCCCCCTCTGTCTGCTTGGTAGAATTTGTGAGTAGTGTGATACAGTAAAACTAATGTTGATAGAGTTGAGAGGGTTCAGAAAAAATGTGTGTGTGTGTGTGTAGATGTATATCCCTGAGGAAGTTCATTTGGGCTGAAGCCCCCCCTCTCTAGCCATTTTCAGCCCACCATGCATATAAAATGCATGACACGGTCTGAAGAGGAATTTTAAATCAGAGCCCAGACTTTCAAAAGAAGGTCCAGTGTGGGTGTGGATGTCAGTGGGAGAGGAGAGGAGAGGAGACGGAGGAGGACAGTGATGCCCTCCTGCCTTTCCTGCTTTGGGGCTACAAGGTGTGGAGGAGGCTTTCCCAGCAATGGCTATCACAGGGGAGATTGAGAGATCAAAGCAGATTGTCTGGACTTAGTCTGGTCCACTTTTATCCCTCATTTGGAAATCCATTAGATCCACGCACAGACTCTATGCCTCGTTTAAAGGCTAGTTTCCTCAAATTAAAAATAAAACCCAAAACCTTTCCTGAAAAATATGTCAATTTCCAGGTCATGGCAAAAGATTATCTATGATTTCAAAATTTTAAATATTGAATGAGGAAGTGGTGGTTCTTAATCACTGAATCAACTGCAGCTAGTGATTTTGGCTCTTTTAATGCAGTCAACTGTGTGCTGCAGTGCCACCCTGTGGCCGCCGCATGAACAATGATCCCCAAAACGAGTCCTGCAACCACTCTGGGAGTGTGCACGTTCTACTCACAGCCACAGGAAATGACAGCTGACTTTACGGGGAGATCATCTTCATTTTCTGGGGATGAGCTTACAGCTGCTGGGGTTGATCATCTGAAATAAAACCATCCTTTTCTCAGCACTGCGCTCTGGCACATGGCTGCCGATCCCTGCACAAAAATATCCTGAGGGCAGCAGGCCACCAGGAGCAGAGGCTCCAGGGCTGAGAGCTCCACAGCTCACAGATCTGGAGACGAAAGCATGGCCATCTTTGGCAGCAAGAAGAATTTCCCTCAGCATAGAAGTGTGTAAGACATGAACATCATATGGTGATCAGTAGGAGAATAAGAACAGCAACGTGTGGTGTATGATTAAACACAAAATAAGTGTTATACTCTAATTTGCCTTTTAAAAAATATTTTTCTTTC